CCTGTCGCTCCCAAGGCGGCACACCTTCTACTTTTGTAATTCGGCGTCGCCACCGTGCGCCGTGGCCGCGATCTCGCCCCGCGCCGTGCTCGCTTCCGCTGACGACATCGACTCGAGTCCCGTGTTGCTAGCCACGTACCCTGAATTTGTCACCGGACGGGTCGCTGAGTAATCTCACATTGTAAATTTGGGCCTTCTCAACAGTGTCTATAAACCTGGGTCATTTTCGGCGTTCCCGTCGGCTGCGATGAAACTACTACAGGTTTTATTCCTACTCCCGTACCAATAAACTTTAAAGTTTTGCATTTCAACTCCTCGCATTATCCATCACCCGGGATAACCATAGGCGGGACGTTCACCTCCTCGATTCCCCAACCCCAATTTCCCAACGAGACAATAATTCAGGATGTCAACGGTGCAACAATGAGAACTTGCCGAAATATTATAAACCGTAGGAGCGGCACCAACAATAACATAACCTGAAACGGTTTCTAATGCGTAAGGCGTGATACACGAGGGGTTACTCTTGACCTTGTTATATAACAAGAGGTAAAGGAAAATAGATGTCCTAATGAGCATATCCCCAGGGAGCCACGGAGTGAGTGTCATCCGCTAAAGCCAAATTATCGAAATTGGTCATTGCGGAGGCGTCGACCAAAACGGTAGGCAGACGCTCGGTCACTTTATCTACTTCTTATGAATTTAATGAATTTATATTAAACTTAATACTGCGATCGAAACGAGAATAAATTTTTAAGTTTATCGAACCCTGGACCGTTCAATTGAAGCCTTTTTTTATGGGATAGGGTGACAAACGAGCATACAGTCCAACCGTTGGGAGGAGGTTTCTACGGCCCGTAGACATCTACATCTATCCTCGATTACAAATCAAAATGCAGATGCGTTGTCACACGTGAGGACTGAGATGGAATGCCTCGTTTCCGGTATAAAGGTTTTCCGGTTCTCTACACTCCCCATTCGAAACACACGAGCATCAAGCTACTAATTCACGCTGGTATTATGTGAGAGCGAGGTCCCTCCCCGGTCGAGCCGACCTATTCGTGCTACAACCATACCACCATAATATATAACTGCAGCATGGCCCTGCCACGTAGGCCTCCAATTCCTTCAGTATTCCAATTTCCTGATAAAGACGCTATGATAAGAATTGCCTGCCGCCTACCAAGGGTGGCTATAATAACTATATAACTATACCCCCTATGAGGCTATTTATGGGAGGCTTATGTTCAGCAGTGAAGTTTTTGCAGAAGTCTGCGGAGTGGGGGGTCATACCCAACTGGGTATTACGTGAATAGTATACAAACATAGTGGATACAACGGAAATAAGATTGGAAGTGCATCTTAGAAAACAGAAATGGGTCCAAAGTAAACGGAATTGTTCGTTGAACGCTACAATTGCGCATGAGGCATTGTTCGACTGCAGGTAGTTCCGATACCACAAGTTCCTAGAAAACTGCTACTGATTTAAACTAGGACTGTATTGTTTTTAAAAGAAACAGAAAGAAAACACTACCTTAACACAATTATGACTAAATTACCAATGTAATATGTTAGCACAACCTCGTTATTTGCGCTATAATGCAAACGACCATATATTTCTGTTATTTTTGTATTTGTGAGCGTATATTTTTCACTCATAGCGGGACCATAAATTTTTATGGTTTTAAAAATAAAACACATGTCTTTGGAATATTTAATAATCAAAAGAGGAAATGAAAACTGCTCTCTTATACAGTTTCGTGAGCTGGCTGCTTATATTTTTAACCGACTTCAAAAAGGAGAATATTCTCAATACCAGTGTATGTTCTTTATTTTTGTATGTATTTTACGCGATGTCTTCGCAGATAAAGAACCAATTTTAATGATTCTTGTTTTCTTAAAATATAATTACTCTACTACTCTTTATTGAAATATAATTAGTTCTTGTTATTACATGAGCTACGAGATTGTGATATTAGTTAACTTGTAAAATGTCGTCGAAATAGTACCTAACATAAAAACTTAATTCTCTATTTTTTCAGAATTATTACTTAGAGCTTATTCGGAACCACCCCTAAAATATAATAATAATAATAATATAATAACAACCATTCATAGACACGCAAATTTAAGGAAGAGAAACTTACATTGCACATCTATTGATTTTTTTCAGTAAGTAATTACAACACTTGCCGGAAGCCGTGCTCGAAAATGATCGCGCCAGGCTCTACTGGGACCGGGCCATCATAACAGACAAGACTATTCTTGCGAATAAGCCCGATATTGTGCTGATGGACCGGGACAGTCAAGGATATTTTTGGTCGACATTACCATTCCGTGTGACGAGAACCTCGTGAAAGCCGAAACAGATAAGCAAACAAAATATCTGGACCTGGTTCACGAGGTAACCGACATGTGAGGTGGTCTGCCGACCGAAATTATTCCTGTAGTCGTCTCTGCAAACGGGCTAATCCCAGTCAGCCTCTCGGGTAATCTGAGGCGGCTGGGACTACGTGGCGGACCGCTCCAGGTTCAAATGCAGAAGGCGCTGCTCCTCGATACCGCCCGCATCGTCCGCTGGTTTCTTTCCCTTTCGCCCTAACCCTCGGCCGTTTGGTCATCCCTGCTGTGAGCCTCCATCTGGTTGGGCTTTTATTTATTTATGTATTTTTATATTTATTTTATTTTAGTGATATTTATGTATATTTATCTTTTCATTTCCATTTATAATTGTATATTTATAGAACCCAACCATATGAGAAAACTATATAGATAGCCCCCATAATAATAATGTCCTCCAGACCAAATTTTCGTCCACGGCGGCCTGCCTCAACGGAGGCTAGTCATCGGCGCAGGACAGGATTATAGTGCCCAAGTGTATGCGCAAGCACAGGTGCACTCCTATCTCTATTCCCTCACTCTCATTAATCCGATCGGACGGTAAACCGCATATACATAACCGGAGAGAGATCAGGCGCAGGACCAACAGCTTTACGTGCTTTCCGAGGCACGGGGGTGAGACACCGCCAACTTCCTGACTTCGGGTACCTACTGAGAATTTCTTGATGGAAAAACTCAATTATAAATAAAAAAATTCGAACCCAGGACCTCATGATCAGCAGTCGCAATACTACAACCACAAGACCAACGGGGCAAAATATAATATATTCAATAAAAATATACGATTAACAGTTTACGAAGATATCACGTAATATACCATAAAAACTCAGAGTAAAAAGCCAAACCACATTTATGAATTTAGAATAAAATTAATTTTACGGATTTTTATCTCATTTAATTTTAACTAGGTTGTTTTATTCTACCCCTTTTCAGCAGATTTCAAAGGAGGTGGAGATTTACAATTCCACAGTAGTTTTTTTTTTGAGGTCAGCACAAAAAACAAACAAAAAGGGGAATCATATTTATCTACAAGCAGTGGTGTTGAGAAGTTATGACTCATCGCACAGCATGAGATATACGTAGTAGAAATAACTTTAATTTCGCACAGCATTTACGGACGGGGAATCGAGCGCTGAGAGAGCAAGTCTTCTCTCAATCATGCTCCGATTCGCGGACCGTTGGGGTAAGATTTAGCAGCTCCCACCACTGTTTCCTGTGTAGAAACGGACCCCCGCTCTTGTCTAGTGAACATGTCTTATATATGCTACTGAAGCAAAAAATTTTAATAGCGTGAGCCAGAACATGGATTTAATAGGGTAGAAAAATTGTGAAAAATAAATCGCAACAAAGGTTAATTATTTTACAATAATGTTGTGCATGATTTTGTTTTACGTTTGTTAACTTTAATAATTGTGATTAAATTTTGTTTTAGATAAAAATTCTTAACTATTCTTTATTACTCATTATTTCTTCCTCTCCGTAAGTTCAAGATGTTTCTTAAATGCTATACCGTCAAAAATTATAACATTTAGGTAGTTTCAAATAAAAATAAATAAATTAAAACTTTTACAGGCTCGAAACATAATTTTATCTTTTAAGGATTTTTATTATAAAGAATATTAATTGCGGAATAGTTACAGTTTTTTTTTTGATATTCAAAAAAGAAATCCAAAAATGTTATCTACAAATATAAATAATAGACATGAGGTGAACTGCGTGCTCGTTTGTCACCCTTATTCTATAAAAAAAACCTCGGTCCCAACTAGCGACATCTGGTGAGCGGAAGATTATTAGCCCTTATTATTATTATAATAATATTAATAAAACCCAACTAGATGACCCCACATATTAATAATATTAATAAGATTATCATTTATGCATAATAATGAAATTATTATGCATAAATGATAATCATTGAATCATAAGTGCAAAAATCGTATTTTAATATCTATAAGCGGACAAAAGGAGCATAGTCCGCAAGCGGTCCGGTTATTTTATACACCATGCCTAGAACGAACTATTGTTAAATTTTCACCCATAATAAATTTTATCATAATAATAAATAGGGTTACCCGGTTGTTTCCGTGGTTTTACACCCCACCAATTGATGGCGCTAACAATGAATAACAAACCTCAGCAACTAGGATTGTCACTGAGACAGTTTTGTCAGGAATTTCGGTTGCGAAGAAAAAGGTCCTGAAAATACGCTAGTAATATATAAGTCAATGCTTGAAAACTTCTTAATTTTTCAAATAATTCTTAGAGAGAAAATCTGGACAACGTAAAAAAAAGGTTTTTTTCGTATTTTATAAAATTCTCATTGCGAAAGTTAGTAATTTTTTCATGACAGGGCTTAAGTTCTTAGTTTAAAATTTTATAATTTTAAAGCAATTTTCACAAAACAGTATTACCATAAATCCAAGTGCATGATTTTAGTGTTTTTTATTTGTTGGTTTTATATTATAAATTGTTAACTATTCTGAAACGCAGAGTTATGCGTAGCGAACACAGCAAGACTGTAATTTGTATGTGTGCAGACAGAGCAGTTGCACCTTCAATGGTCTCAGAGAGCACAATCGAAGATTTGAATAATGAAAATAATGCTCCCCAACCAGACTGTTCTGGTGTTGAAAATTCCTCAAATTCCTCAAGCTGTGTCAGAGGGCACAAATGAAGATTTTAATAGCGAAAATAATGCTCCCCAACCAAGCTCTTCTGGTGTTGAAATTATACTGAAAATTCCTCAAAAACAGAAAAGAGAAAGAAGAAAGTGTCGTAAAGGCAAAGCAAAACAGAGTCATGTTTATGGCCCTGAAGAAAGTGTTAAACCGAAAATTATAAATATACGTGGAACATGTGGAGGAGATTTTAAAGTTCATGTAAAGGCCAGGAATGGGAAGGAGTGGATTGAATGTTTGTGTAAGACTTGGTACCATGTGGAGTGTCAAACTGTGCTGGATCTAAAGTACTTCTTATGTTCTGAATGCCAAATTTCAGATTAAAATCCAATATTTGGTAGGTACATAAGAAATACCTCGGATCTATATTAAAGTATTGTTGATTATAAGCAAAACTTGATGATAGTTATAAAAAATAAAACTAAAAATCAATTATAATTTTCATTTTTAATATATCACAGCTTTACCAGTGTCATATCGCCATATAACCAAGCATATATTACATAATAAGTCTAATATCACCATTCTACTTAAACTTTTTGTAGTTTAATTTTTTTAACTGTGTACAATATGCAGACATGTTTATCTTGCTAATGTGGTTTAATGTGTGGCATATTTGCTCCTATTTCATGTCCTATTATTAAAAAATATTATTTTATTTTGTACAAAAAACTTGATAAAATTATTCAAACTATCACTGAATAACCAAGTTTTACCCTAATGTCTGACTTTGCTTGGTAGCTCAGATGGTTAACGCTCGCTGTAAATCCCACAGTACGCGAGCAACCCGAGTTCGATCCCCGCCGGCACCAATGAAATTCTTAATTGCAATTTTAAGGACTTATTTACCACGTGCTAGGCTGTGAAGGCAAGAAACGTAGGAAAACGGCGGAAAATATTTGCCCTAAAATCCTCTCAGAAATGAGAGGAGGCCTGTGCCCAGCAGTGGGACGTATACAGGCTGTACTTTAACTTTAAATAATATCTACAATTATATTGGTGCACCTGCTTATTGAAACATTATAATTATATTTTACCGCGTTTTTATTAACTCATTTTCGTGTATGTCTGGGCGGGTCGAATTCAAAAATTGATTTTAAATTATCTTTCCGATGAGCTTAGAGACTTGAAATGCGTGTGTGTAACATAGCTCAGGATTGGATAACAATATAAAGGTAAAAACTTTTAACATAATCCACGAATTTACTTTATTTTTCCTGAATTAAACTTCTAATAAAATAAATTAAAACCGAATTCAAAGAACTTAAAAGAGTATATTTTCTACGTAATAGCTTTTGAAGACGGTGCTAAGACTGTGTTTCAAAGAATTAAAGCCCATTTAAAAAATATTACACACTCTCTGATGTCGGTTCATTACTCTTTATTAAAATATAATTAGTGCTTGTTATTTCATGAGCTATGATATTGTGATATTCGTTAAGTAAAATGTCACATAATAACTTAATTCCCTATTTTTCCAAAATTATTTCTTAAAGCTATTTTTAATAAGCGACAAAATCGGTAAACAGTTTACGAAGATATCACGTATGATACAATTAAAAACGCACAGTAAAATGACAAACTACTTTTACGGATTTGGAATAAAACTAAATTTATCGTATTTAATTTCAATTAGGTAGTTTTATTCTACTCCTTTTTTAGCAGATTTAAAAAAAATTTGCAATTTCACAGTACTTTTTTTTTAAGTCAGAACAGAAAAACAAAGCAAAATGGGGAGTAATTGTTTCTACAGCAGTGGTGTTGAGGAGTAAGGCACTCCTCTAAACATTCAGAGCTACTCAGTTGAGGCAACTTTGTAAGACTTCACGTGAGACGGCCTTAACGGCCGGACATCGAACGGCGGTTGGGAATTAACCCATGGCTTTCCGCTGAACGCACGCATCCCCCAAATACATGCTTCGCGGACCGTTAGGGTGTAGAATTAGCAGCTCTAAACGGGTCACTGTTTCCCTGTGTAGAAACGGACCCCCACATTGCACTGTGAATGTAGTCTTATATATGCTACAGAGACAAAAAAATTTAATAGTGTGAGTTAGAACCGGGAATGAATGAGGTAGAAAAATTGTGAAAAATAAATCATAACAAAGGTTTATTTACAAGACTAATGTTAATGATTTTGGTTTAAGTTTATTAACATTAATAATTTTGGATAAATTTTGTCGACGGCAAGTTAATTTATCATTTCTGTATGACAAAAAGTAAACGTAGATATCAAAATAAATATGAATCTCATACTTCTGCTTGTGTATTTTTGTAGTCCTTAATTTAGAAAAAGCGAATGCAAAGCATTCATATTTACCGATACGGAACTTAATGTCATTGATTATTGAACGACCTCGTAGTTGTGATTCCTGGGTTCGAACTCGTGCGAAGTTGATATTTTTGTAAAAAAAAAAACAATTTTTGATTGTTTATTTCAATTAAAAAAATTAAATTCCTGCTCATATACTTTCCACAATCTGCAAAATAAATAGCATGAATGTGCCTTTTCGTATAGTTAAACGGGTTCTGAAGGGGATCTACGCGGATTTGTTCAATGTAGTTGCACCTGGTCAATGAGAGAGGGCGCTGCGTTACGTTCAGTCGTTCGTCGAACATCGCGTTTTAGGTGCAAAACAAATAATGTACAATATAACTAATATAATATAACTAAGCTCGAAGTTGTTGACGAGTATGTTTACCTGGGACAAACAGTCCGACTAGGTAAGTCTAACTTCGGCCGAGAGGTCACTTGACGGATTCAACTCGCCTGGGCAGCGTTTGGGAAATTACGACACATCTTCTTGTCAAAACCTGAAAACGAAATTGTACAACCAGTGCGTGTTGCCAGTGATGACCTATGTAACTGAGACGTGGTCCTTCACTGCTGGCCGTATGAGGACGCTCGAAGTCGCTCAGCGAGCCATGAAGAGGGCTATACTCGGGGTTTCTCTAACAAGTAATAGAAAGGACATAGCCCAACGGATTAGTAAGCGGAAGTGGCAATGGGACGGCCATATAGCTCGAAGAATCGACAACCGATGTGGAAAAAAAGTTTCTCGAGTGGCAGCCTCGTACCGGTAGGCGAAGAGTAGGGCTACCCCCCACAAGATGTAGCTAAAAATGCAAGATCGGAGCAGCTATAAATAAAAAGTATTAAGTGTTTCACAAATCAATGTTATAGATGGCAGTAGTTTAACCAACAATGAAATTTCTTAGAATATTTATAATAGCATGATGAGTGGTTAACGACAGCAGTCGAACGGCGGATTTGAACACTCACCAGATGTCGCTAGTAGACACTGAGGTGAAGTTTTTTGTTACACAATGTAGTTTTAAATAAAATTTAATCAATTTCTAGAGTATTATATTAATTCACAAAACAGTGCCTAAAGTGTTTGCTCTTTAATTTTTTGAACATTTTTAACTCTCTTTTTTAATTTTATACTTTTATGAATATCGATGGATTGATTTATTTATTTTTAATCTAATTAATATAAAATATAACTAATAGTACATAAAGAAACATTAACCTTTACATTTGTCGATCAAATTCAGTTCCCCGCTATGAAATTTGTCAAATATTACACCTCACTTGTAAGTGGCGCCGCTCTGCTGGCAGAAAAAGGCGTAGATGTCCTTATTATTTGAATCGCTCGTTTCTTTGGAAATTACGTTTGATTAATGAGTATAGTATTCTATTTTAATTTTACTGTAAAATAACAGTAATATAAACAAACTATGCCTTTCTCACAACGCTTATAATTCATTTTACTATAAAATTTGTAAGTATACTTAATAAACAAGGCATTCCATCTTAGTTCTCAGGGGTGACAATTGACAACGCATAACTGCATTTTGTTTCTTAATCGATGATACATGTAGAGTCTATGGGTCACAGCATCCACTTACGATCAGGTGGAGAGTGTGCTTTTGTCCTCTCATTCTTTAAAGGATAAGATATCATGAGCGAAGAATTCGTAATCATAGAATTTTATGAGCAATATGAGAATAGAGAATAGGTTTGAAGGGAGCCTGTAAGGCATAGCATTTTAGTCCAAGTCAGAGCGGAATTTATAACCGCTAGCAGTTTTTCCGGACCAGAACGACCTTTATGGAAGAAGTGTTTCTTTCTAGAAGACCGCAACGCAACTGAAATTACTCTAACATTCATAAGTTACAGTAACTCCTAGATAAGCCGCACGCTTGTTGGTTCTTCTTTCATAAAAAGTCATTTGGACTAAATACACAAATGTAAGAAATTACAAGGGAATACGAACCAGGATTTTTAGCAGTTTTCATTTGATATCAATCAAATACTTTTCAAAAATGATTGCGGTACCTGGAAAAGAGAAAAATAATAATGTAACAAACACATGACAAAAACAGAAACAGAAACTTCTTCATTCAATATAGATTATAAATAATACTTATTGAAAGTCACTTTTTTAATTTACCACTGGTTCGGGAAAAAAATCTCTTGTCTGGGAAGAATCAGCAAGAAAGCCAGCGGGACATTTTTATGAAAAATGATTGTATGTGTATTTTTTTACGATCATATATCTTTATAAACAAATTAGAAATAGCTTGGTAGCGTATCACCTTTCCCAGGGGTTATTATCATCCGTAGATTCCTTAATATTATAATAATCATTTGATACAAACTTAGTTTAATAAAGTTTTTGACTTTCTGCAGGTCAAATTTTGTATATTTTCTGGGATTTTGTCGAAAGCTTATACATCGCCCCAAGAATGAACTGACTCGGTGGAGCCGAGTAACTGGTACTACTAGCTTGTGTCTGTTCCGTCCTGTTCCTAGTATTTACAGAATGAATATCACTTATATTTTGCTTTGCAATTTGCTTTCAAAGTTTATATTTACAATGTCAAAAGATACAACAATGATCTGGTGTGACAGATTACAAACTTATTTGTTATTTTTTTAATCCATTGAGAAGAGGCGATAGAAACTGAGCACATAGCAGTTTTGCGAGTTTTTAACTGTAAAAAAATAAAACTTTAAATATGTGTTTATATAATAATTTAATTGTAACAAAATTAATAGGTGTATGGTTATTTACCGATGATACGATATCCCATGTTTTTCTTTATCGTTGTATCGTAATTTTTGCATTCTTTTACCACGCAACTAGACATATTTGTGACAGCCAAATCTGTCCCGCGCGCGCACTACTGTCGACCGATTCGCGTTGGCTCTAAACTGTAATTTTAGGGCCAGCGTACTGGTCCGTTTTAGTTGTTCGCTCGGCCCGGCCCTTACGCTAGTAATATATAAGTCAATGGTTACAAACAGTTTACCATCA